TGGTCTCGAATAACCCATGGGCCTCCCCTGGAGCTCGCAAGTAGTCTTGATCATTCCCAAAAGTTGCAAGAAATGTGTCATTGTTGAGATCCATAATCTCGAGAGAGCCTGCAGATCGCCATTGCCATCGCAGCTGAAAGCAGGGTAAGAGTAAAAGATTGATCGGCCTAGCAACCGAACCACCAGAGTCTTCTTCCAAGGTTGACACATGCATTCTTCGAAATTTTATGAGACTTTGAGTTCCAGTTCCCCTTGAAAGGAGCTTGGTTTCAGGTCATCGATGCAGACGAAAGTACATTGGCACTTTTTGTTCGATGAATTGTGTGCGATGCCAGGCAAGGCTTCTTTGAAGTTCAGTGGTTGAGGCATAGCCTTGAAAGTTGTTGACGAGGCTTGCAGTTGTGGATTGTCCGGCAGACGACCTGAAAGAGTTGGGGACGTCTCTGGTGGTGGATCAGAAAGGACCCCGGGCAAGAGCATTTTCAAAGATTCCTGATTCTTTTATAGCTTACCAGTTTCAACACATCGGTTATCCATATCCCTCAAGTATTATAATTGTCACTTAGGCAAACTTCTTGCCCAGTTTCCCTCACTTGTATAAACAATGTCTTAACAAAATTTTAAAAATAGCATCGACATTCTATGAAAAATTGCACTTTATATCAAGAATTTTATACATGATTATACGGAGATGATGGGAGCAGATCTTTCCCAGACTGCACTTGTAGGAATCTATATATGTCATTTTTCATTCCCGCCTAGTTTTGATTTGGGATATAGTTACAATTTTAAAATTATAGTCTGGGCACGGTAATATAAAAATCGGCCCACCCAACAACTTGTCAATTGTCATCTCAGTAGTCACTAGCCAGGCAGTACTGATATTCAAAAAAAAAAATGCCAGGCAGTACTAGATTTCTTTTTTCATGGAAATGCTGGAGAGGTTTTTTTTTCTTTTTTGACAAGTAATGCTGAAGAGGAGGTTGATAGATCGATTTTTATTGACGTGATCAATTACCCAGGTGCCATAAACGGAACTGAAAATGACAATAATCACTTCTCCTTTTCCTCTTCCATTTTTTTATCTTTCTTCGTTAATCTCATAGCTAAGCTAGCCATTTTGTTGCAATTGTGGGCAGTGGGTAACCTAAAGTCAAGCAAGAGTAGTTCACCGTAAAAAAAAAAAAGTCAAGAGTGGTTAAACCCCTCTGCTTACTTTTGCCCCTCGTACTAATTTTTCCCCTTTTCCTTCTTCTTCTAGCTAATCACAATGATTTAGTAGGAGAAATGTGACTAAAAGTAGGGTCAACGTGTGCCCGCCACGTGGAAATCACACTTTCCATAAATAGAAATTTGACTTGCCCATATCGTGATGTTTTCCCTTTTTCTCTTCTGGGTATGGTTTGTGAAATCGTTGGTATTGGCGGTTGAACCACAAAATATCAGTATCGATGCTAAATTTATGGGTGGTATTTAGTGGTATTGACGGTTGAACTACAATAAAACCACAGTTTCACCATAAAATACCTTACCGCTGATATTTCCGATACAGTATCCGGTCTGGTTTCACAAACTTTGTTTTGGATTTTTCTTTTTAGGGTTCATGCTAGGGATGGCAATGGGTCGGGTCGGGGATGGATAGTGTATATCCGTTACCCTACCCGAAGTAGTTCGGGTTTTACCCATACTCATACCCACATAAGAAATGGGTAGAAAATCAGAACCGTGCCCATACCCGTTCGAGTTTCGGGTATCTACGATTATCCATGGGAAATAATTTCTCTCTAAAACTCCAACCAATACGTTAACATTCACATATATAGTCACATTACATAAGAAGAAACGTATAACAATAAATCATTAGAATGAAGAAAATTAATTAAAACAACACAATTTCATGAAAATATTATATTTGTATGCTAAATATAAAATATGTTAGAGAAAAAAAATGATTATTTCTATACAAAGTACACATGCATGTGCATAATCGGGCGGGTTCGGGTTGGATAGTGAGAAAACCATGTCCACCTGTTACCCACAATATTCGAGTTCGGATTTTACCCGTACCCACTAAAAGTCCTTCAAGTTCGGGTTTTACCCTATCCAATTAGGTCGGATTCGGGCGGATATCCACTATTACGGATATTTTTGCCATTCGTAGTTCATGCAGACAATAATTATATGTGAAAAAATAACATGACCAAAAAGAAATGGTTCCTACTTGCTAATAACTTAAAATTAGTGTTTTTTTTTTTTTTTACAAAAAGGAGGCAAGGAAAAGCAATGAGTAAATCAAATAAAGTAAAGAAAATGAGGAAGTTGGATTTTGTTTATTTTAATAAATTCAATGAACCTACTCAAAGGGTCATTAATAAGCTGCCTTTGCAATATATTCAACGATTGGGTTAGTAATTAAAACGCGAAGAAATACACAAAACCCTTTTAATTGAGAGAGGGGCTTGGTATTTAATGATATCACATGGCTGGAAGGTGGTGGACTAGTGATGATCTGTGAGAGTTGAAATCAATCACCTAAATAAATTCTTAAACTACTTAATTATTATTATGACTTTATTAAGACGTGGTATTTAATTAATCAAATCTTGTGGAATTGTGGATTTCTAAAATCCGTACTTTTAAATTTATTGTTTTGCTGTACATTATTAATTACCTTGAGCATTAAAATCCACTACCCAATTACCCCAACTCAACTTCAATAAAAAGAGGGCAGTGAGAAAAATCAAAAGATAATGTCATGTAGAGAAGTTGATTAGAGTATTCTAATTTCACAATAGTGACGTAGTTCCATTTTCAACGAAGAAATTTTTATTTTTTCTATTGAAAACATAAAGTAGAACAAAAGACATACCACAGACAAACGGTTCGAGGTTGTCGATTTGAGTGGTTAACCAATCGTGCCCCATGCGGGCAAAAAAATACTAGATTTTAAGTATGCCATACCATATTTGGGTCTGGATCTAGTTATTTTTTGTAAAGCCAGTTGGTCCAATCGAGGTTTAACACTTGGTTGGAAATGAGCCAAGCCAAGCTAAGTTTGACTAACTCGAACTCGGCTCGCCAATAAACTAACGAAGCTCAAACTCGGCTAAAATTTTGGCTTAAACCCACCTATACTTATTAATGAGCTCAAGAGCTCTACACGAGTTCGACACGTCAATCAACTCACGAGATGACTCAAACTCAGTTCATTTATGAGTTCAACTAATATAACTCTTAAATCAAACTCTAAATTTATCTATAAATTAAAAAAGCACTATGTGATACATCATTCATGTGATTAATGTCATAATTACCAACAAATATCAATTTTCATCATTCATTAATCTTATGTTTATAAACTCTATTGATATCATATTATTTAGTTCAATTTTTAAGTAGTTTATATCATGTTAGTAAATGATAATTAGTATCTAAACAATCTATAATACATAATTTGTGTTCCAAATTAGACGCGAGACAGGAATGCTCACGTACTCAAAGTCCTAAACCATCATATATGGTGAGGTAAATAATAGAATTAACCTATGAATTATCAATATGTCAACTCATAAACTATAGATTAATTCACTCATAAGTCGCTAGTCATGAAGACTCGCTAACTACTTAATGGAGTTGGCTCTCGAGCTAAACAATACTCATTTGAAACTCAACTCGTTAGTTTACAAGTCAAGTGTCGGACGAAATTTTTCTGAATAAGCTGCCCGTTTGGCTCATTTGCTGCTAGCCAAGTTCTTTGCATTTGCCGAGTTCTGCAACAGAAGTAAGTAACAAACATCATACAAAAGAAAAGGAGGGTTGAAATGAGAAGAGTCAAAGAGATCGAGAAGAGGTTGAATTTGTTTGGTTTTGGCTAAGGGGGATTGATTCCTAATAAATTGGTTGGTGTTTCCTATGTGGAGAGACATTAAATCAATTTTTTTTGGAGCCTTTCGGAAGAGAGGTTTCGTTTTTCTCCTGTTTCTTCCTCGACGACTAGGGTAATAACAAATAATATACACATATATATATATATATATATATATCATTTTAATTCTAGTTTCTTAATTAAATGAAGACCCAATTTTTATACACATATAATAAATTAATAATAATAGCTGTTATACTTACCTTTTATTTGGTTAGACATTAAATATTTTGGTGCTTTCAATTAAACTTTTAGGTGGGTTGATAAGGGTGATGCTGGGGAGGACGTTTGAACATGAAACAACATCTCTTCCTCCTTCCTCTGTTTTCCACCATCCCAGTGAGTTCAGTTTACATGATTATCTTACGTATCATATACCACCAAAATTATATAAACCTTTTTTTTTTTTTCCATACGTTTTAGGGTTCTTCTTCCTGATTATAGGGCAACGAATGAATGAATAGACATAGGGAGATGGAGCTGTTATACTAACCTTTGCAAAGTGCAGTGTTTCTGTTCCCTCCTTCTGCATACTCCTTGAGATTTTTTCCTCTTCTTCTTCTTCATCATCTCCTTCCCTTTTACTAGTACCAACACTCCCAATTGAATTCCCATTCAATTCAATTCAATACTCACTCTCTCTCTCTCTAACACCCTCCACCTCTCCTTCCTCCCATAATTAATTTTGAGCTTTAAAGAAAAGCCCATCTCTCTCTCTTCCCAGCCTTGTATATAATGCCCTTTAACTTGTTCAAAACCACCACCTCCACCCCTCCAAAACTGTTTCTATACTGTTTCCCTGATCAATTTCTCCCTCCCCCCTCCTTAACCAAGCTCTTCTTCTTCCATCCATGGTCCAACAGTACTAGCTACCCACCCACCAATTTCGATCCCTCTCTCTTTCTCTGTTCCCCTGGCCTGCCTGTCACGGAGTTTCAGAGACACCCTTTTCAATAAGGTAAGTACGAAACAGAGATGGGTTCGGCAATCAATCCAATTGTTGTTCAGAACAAGCAAAGAGTTGTCGGAATTTGAGCGCACCGTGCGTTTTTCATGTTGGTTTTGCAGCAGCAGGATGAGCCGAAGGAACAACAACCCGAAGCTGGAGCTGAAGCTCAACTTGTCGCCACCAAGGGGCGGGAATAACAGCAACAACAACCGCATGAGACTGGAGTCCTCACCAAGCCGGTCGGCCACTGTGTCGCCGACTTCGCCGCCGAGCTCCTGCGTGTCATCGGAACTGAATCAGGACTCCGACAGCGGGTTGAGGTATTCCAATAGCCCTGAAGCGACTTCCATGGTGCTCGTGGGTTGTCCGAGGTGCCTGATGTACGTCATGCTCTCCGAGGATGATCCCAAGTGCCCCAAGTGCAAGAGCACCGTCTTGCTCGACTTCCTCCATGACAACAACAACAACAACAACTGCAACATGAGGGGAAAGAAGTGATACAGAACAAAGTTTCTTAAGAAGAAACAGTAGAGGCATGTTGGCGGCAACTCTTCTTTAGGACTTTGATTATTATTATTATTATTATTATTATGGTTCTCTGTAGGCAATCTATCTTCCTATCCATGGTAAGTAGCGCTATTTGCGCTCCATTTCTAAGCTTCATTCTCTGGCAGGAAACTTCAGAAAAAAGAAGAAAAAAAACATTAAAAAAGAACCCAGAAAAAAAAAACACAGAGAGAATGGCAAAGCAGACAGTTAAGTCGAATGAAGTGGAGCGCGAATATCACTGCTTTTCTTTTATTTTCTTCTTTTCCTTTCTGGGTTTTGGAGGGTTTGTTGTAGTTTTCCTTTCTTCATGAGCAAAATAGGATTCAATGTTATGGGCAATATCGATGGGCAGAAGAAGATGAAGACCAATGTAAAACTGGTGTAGCTGCAGCTGCCCAAATTTTCCAATGGAAAAAACTGCCTTGCGTACTTTGAAAGTGGCTTGCTTTTCTCTTTCTATTTTCCTATCAAACCTTCACCTATGTTCTTACTTTTGGGATACTTTGTACCATCACTTGCCAACTAACCTATCACAACCATGCCACATCAACATAGCAGCATAGTTCCAAAATTCTACTGAAAAATTAGTCTGAGAGTGAATCTAACCAGAGGGGAGGTGGTTCCTTCTTGTCTGTGCTTGTTCTGCTCACTAGGGGAGTGCCTGTAAAGATGGGGGGAGCAACTGGGCAAGTGAAAGTAAAACCTGTGACCACACAAGTTAAAAAAATTGTCTTCTCCAGAAAGAAAATAAGGCATCAGAAGTAGATATAGTACGGCAGCGTTATGACTCTACAGACTACAGGGTCCCACGGGTTTGTAAAATAGGAGTCAAAAAAGCCTCCTGGCTTCGTTAAAAGACAATTCATGGGACCAAATATGCTGCCCCATGCCCAGGCCAAGGGAGGGTAGAGATGACAGTTTCCTAAGTAGAAGGCAGAGAGAGTCCACAAACAGGGCAGCTTCTACATCCTAGTACTAAGTTATGCTCTCTGTTGAAAAAGGTAGAAGGCTGACTGGAGTTGACAAACCAAATAAGATCAAAAGCAAAAGTGAAACAAAAAAGGTGGCACAGGGTTGGTTATTGAGCAAAGCTTAGAGGGTTATAGAGGTTCGGTCACATATTTAATCACTAACCCACTGAAACCATAAAGACTACGGTGCAGTAGAAACTTATATCACCATCATATTGTAAAGTTCATAGAATGATAATAACAAACATGACCTAGGACAAACATATCGGAGGCAGCTTATATGGTAATCCCAGGGTATCTAATTGATGGGTGATTAGCCTAAAAGGTGTAGGAAGAAGGAGAAGGGCAATTGGGTAAATGGAGAAGCTCCACCAGGAGGTGGGTTGGGTAGTTCGTGCATTGAAGCAAAAGGAGGGCTATATTAGATTGAAAGACCATTAAAAACACATAAATGCAAGAGTAATTGAGACAGTTGAGAATAATGAAAGGGCAAGGGGGGGAAGGGGGCTATTACGTCAAGATGATAAATACAAATTTAATTCCCAACCCTTCAGCCAGCCATCTATATTTTCATATTTTGTGTTCAATCTTTTCCTTCTATTGCTTTCCTTTTCACTACTCTTCTCATCACTCACTAAATGCCACCTTTCTGGTGCCATTCTCTATTTTGGTAAGTGAAACACTTACTCGCTCCCTACTCCCTCCCTTCCCTTCCATCTCTCTCTCCTCCATGTTCCTCTAATTCAATTCTTGCTTCTGTCTCACTTATTTCCCTTTTTCCTTCTCCCTCCCTCCTTCATTTTCTCTTATATCTTCATCTCAACCCCCCTTGATTAACGCCTATAGACGCACTCTTTTCTCTCATTCATACCCCTTAAAAGTTAAAACAAAGGAGAAAAGGAAAAAAAACGAAGCCTAGGAATTATAAAAGGCTGTGCAGATTAATAAAAATAGGAAAATATCGCAGAAATACTTCATATCATATCAATAAATGCTCCAATATGTTAAATAACCTCCAACAGAAACTCAGAGAGGAAGAAAGCGTAGGTCATGCACTTAGGATGGTCCAACGAATATACAAAGCCATACCGTCATGCACACACAAACTAACGAGAAACAGCCATCCTCAACCATTAAGAGAATAGGGGAGCAAGATGGCTGCAAAACAATGGCTTACCGAGATTGGCGGCATGGCTGGAAAAACTGATGGCTAGTAGGGTTGGGGGCAACTGCTTATTTCTGAGAGAGAGAAAAGCAATTCACAGAAACAAAATAAAATTAGTAAGTCAGACAGACAGACAGTCAAAATCATATCTAATTTTAACAAAGTTAAACGGCCAAACGTTTAACCAGTTCTTTTGCATTGCTGTTATTGAATTCATGGCTAGACGCAGCAGGTTATCAGACTTCAATCAAGTATATCAATGGCGGCCAAATGAGCAATGAAAAAGAAAGGCTTTAGATTTCTTGTGAACAAAAATTAAGTAAAGTCACGTCCTTCGATCTAACTTTTCTATACTCAACTACACACTATCCTGGTGAAAAGAACTCTCCTCAGTCCTCACAGTCTAGAGCATCATCATTTAATACGATGATAATAACATTCCAAAAGCACCCTGTTCAGTTGTTTGTTGTTTGTATATGCTTTGTCACATTTATGGGTGTGTTTAATTGACATGTCAAATCTAATTTGACTAGGGCCAGTGCAGAATGAAATGTTTGCCACTTGTATTCCTTCAATGTTAAGGAACTTCATGAAGAGAAGATTAAAGATAGTTACAACTTATTTGCAAAAGCGATTTCACTAGCTAGCTACAGTATAAAGAAAACCCTAACTTATAATGATTCAATAGCATGCCTGACAAAGAAGCCAAAGTTCCTAAAAACTCCTACTCCCATCCCTTTTAGGAATCATTTTAATTTCTGCGGGAGCTCAAACAAATTTTTTTACCTTTAGAAGCATCATGCTGTTCCTTTTATGAATGGCCAACCTGCAGATAAAACAGAATCTTACCAATTGTACATGGATTAGTTCAGATAAACTAAACTCGAGAACAAGTGCTCCAATGTCTCCCAAAAGAAGCCAAAGTTCCTCAAAACTCCTACTCCCGTCCCTTTTAGGAATCATTTTAAGTTCTGTGGGAACTCTAACAAATTTTCTTACCTAGTTACCTTTAGAAGCATCATGCCTTTCCTTTTATGAATACCCAACCTGCAGAAAAAACAGAATCTTACCAATTGTACATGGGTTAGTTCAGATAAACTAAACTCGAGAATCATAAGAACCAATGCCTCCCAAAAGGAAAAGTCAATTCATAGGATTTACGAAACCTACAATATTTATGCAGAGAATCATAAGAACCAATGTTCCACATCAAGCAAGTAGCTTTACCTACTGAAGTGGCAGTTTATTTGTCATAAGGAAACACCTGAAGATTGGTATTCCCAGCCAACCCAAATTATGTGCTGACGCATAAATATGACCAACATTCATCTTGAGTGGAGGACTCCTCTGCTTTGCATTATGAGCATTTAGTACCTAGACTACTAAGTGTGAAAATCAAATATATACCTAACACCATTTTCCAGAAAGAGTAACCCTGACTTGATATGCAAACCTAACATACAGACTGACTACTTGATAATCAACAAAGAAACTAACTTGCCGTGATATAAGATGTTTCCATATGCAAATGCTACGTTACGAAACTTCAAACCAGACAAAGCCAAGTGAGAAGATTTGTATCTACATATTGTGGCATTCAATTTTATATTTTAATTGAAGAAGCTTTCCATTTCACATAAAATATTTTTTGGGCATTAGAATACAAGCTCCAGTTAGGAAGGTCGACAAATCACAAGTTCATGCAACGTAAAATGCATCTTCTGTCTTTCAAGCCTTGTTTTAGCAGGCTTCCAAGAAAATAACCTAACATGACACATATCCATATCATGTTTTCCAAAATTGCACCGAAGCGAAACCAAAAGAAAATTCAGTTGAAGTTCATGCAACGTAAAATGCATCTTCTGTCTTTCAAGCCTTGTTTTAGCAGGCTTCCAAGAAAATAACCTAACATGACACATATCCATATCATGTTTTCCAAAATTGCACCGAAGCGAAACCAAAAGAAAATTCAGTTGAAGTTATTAACAGAAGAATGTCAGCTATGTTAAGACTACGGAAACCTGAACCACGGTATAATCCAGGCTGATGTTAGTGGACAGCCGCAACAAGTTTAGACATGTTGGCTTCACTCACACCAGCTTTCTATGCCGCACCTCATAATGACCTTTGCTTTAACCATGAAGCAGTCCATAACTAATCTGCTGACATGAAACAGTTACAGGTTTGATACAACAGACTAAACACAGTAGGATAAGTTCACGATGGTCCTAAGGAGAAAAGGGCATGAAAAGCTTCAGGTTGCCCCAACTTCCACTTCCCAAGTAATTTGAAATTTCTACATAACTATCAGCTGAAGTTAAACTAGTGCCAGTTCTACTACAAGAGGATAACCTTGTTTTGTAAAGAGAATTACAATGGAGAATCCTAAATGAAGTTTTCAGCAAAGAACCATAAAAATAACCAAAACAAGGTCTTTATTAAATAAATAGTTTCAATTGCCAAAGAAAGAGATCTTAAAATCAGGCTGAGTATCACTTCTTTTTTTATACAGGTGAAAACTTCATTGAAAATGGGGAGAAGAATACACCAGTGGTGTATGGAGGAAGAACAAGAGGAAAAGGTAGCTAAGTATCACTTGTCCATAAAAAATAATGAGCATTCAGTAGCAAAGCCATCAGGTGAATTGACTTTGCTTCTCGAAATCACTATCACAGAGAGAGAGTGAAACACCATTCACAAATTCACTTCGAGAAGAACAAGAATAAGATCTTTAAGTTACTATCTTAGCAAATATCCGGATGAGCTGCCAAGTGTTGTAAATAGCAGTAGTCAAGTAGTGTAATTCAGGGCTTAGGGAATAAATGAGCAAGAGTTAGGTTCCTTTGATTTTGATGCTTGCCTCTTGAATGATAGCTCCTGTAAATGGTATCCCATGCTCCAAACATATTATAGATATGTATCTTTAAATTATTTGCATCTCTTTTCCACCTCTTTCTTACATGCATATCTTTTTTTCTTGAGCAAGAGACAATGTAAAAGGAAGACTTAGGAAGCAAGGCTAATCATATAGGTCCAAAATGCTTGAGTTGAGCATTTTGGACCTACTTGGCTATGAATGGGAAAGAAAGAACATCATCAGACTGAATGAACCATCCAAACAATGAGCTCATAAGACAATTAGAGAAAATTGGAAAACATATTTGAGTTCCATTCAGAAACATAAGGCCTTGCTCGCCAGGTCAGCCCTCGGCAACCACTAAAACACAACTATATAGGTTCTAAGAGCTTCACATATCAAAATTCCATCTGCGTGTTTACCTTTTCAAAGCTTCTCAAAATAAGTACCCCCTAGAATCAGAGCATGGCTGTAAGTCAGTCTCGGGCAAGTCTCGATGCGCCAAAAATCCATCTTAGGAGCTATAGGTCTTACTCATTCCCTTGGTTCAGTTCTCCCCATCCACTACTGCTTCTAATGTACTTGTCAACAATACCAAATTTATGGTTTTGCTCCACCCGCCTAGCATAGTTTTCAACAGATATAGGACCTTTCTTCAATCTCCTGTAATAGATAATTTCCCAAGGCCACAAGCGAGAAGAACCAAAGTAAGCCTCTGGGCTTAAATGCCTTGCATCCTCATCTGCCGAATCAAGATTATAATGCTTTATAACCTTACACAACTCGTCTGGGGAAATATCTGTTAAATTGCAGGTGCCAGAAATAACAGACAGTTCAGACTCTGGTTTCGTGATAGAACATGGCACATGGTCTGGCATCACTGGGTTTGAATTCTCAAAAGCAATCTCCATCAGCCTCTTAGGCGAAGAACTCATAGCAACTCTTGTACTTCCGTCTGTTAGGGCAGTGCTTGGGTCTTTCACAACATTGAGAGATGCTGACAAAATTTCACTGTCCTTAAGCATAAGCTTCCCTTTTTTAACTTCGCCTTCCATATCCAAAGATAGAACCGGACTTCCCGAATTTGCAACAGTCGCGTCCATTTCAAGTTCAGAATTCTCCACCTTTGTATTAGATTCTACCGTCTGTTCCTTCTCAACCACCACCTCCCTGGACTCTGCAGGTTTAACAGCATCCATGCCACCTTCCGGATTGAACTGAATCTTATCTGAGGATGGCAAAGGTTGTCCAAGTGACACAGACAAAGACAATGATGCAGGCGAGATAGATCTCAATCTCGACTTAGTATTTCTGAATCTATGTGATGTTGAACCGGACCTCGAGTCTGATGATAATGAACGAGTCCTAGAAGATTTCGATCTCGATCTAGAGCGAGCATAAGACATCCGAGTATGCTTTGACGACTTAGGAACTGATCTTGATCCCATGTGATCTGAATCAGGAGATGAAAGCGACCTTCTTCCTCTCTTTGTGCTACATGCCTTAGGTGATCCACTTTCTTTCCTGTTTCGTTTCTTTCTTTCACGATCCTTTATTGTGCCCACTTCCTTTTCTATTGGAGAGCTGTTATACTTTGCTAGTTCGTGGTGCTTCCTTGAGCTAGATGATTTCACATCATTCTTACCCCTATCCATCCCTGATCCCAGTGTTTCCCTTGACCTAGATATTTCTGTCTCATCTTCACTTCTCTCTTTCCAATGCACATTGTTACCGTCTGTTTGGTTAAACTTGGACCAGTTTGTCCTCACAAAATTTTTCTCAGGACAATTCCTCATTTTGTGACCCAGGCTCCCACAACTATAGCAAGCATCCTTGCGCTTCAAATTTCCTTCACCAAAGTGATCTCTCCTTCTATCCCCTAGGAAGCTTCGTTGAGAAGGAGACCCGCTGGAATGGCCCAATTGAGGGTTACCATCATCAATTCTGTCCTGGTAGGGTTCATACCTATCGAACCCCTCTCCATCATTGACATCATGTTCATTCAGCACATTGCGGAGATCCCATCTATCATTTTCTACCATTTCATCCTCCCTGTAACCGCGATGCTCTTGACCATGAAAATCCTTCATGTCGTCATGGTGGAAAGCTGTCCCTTCATCAAGCATATCAGAATCGAACCTTCTTTCACGTTCATCTTCATGCTTAACGAGCATTCTATAATCATGTTGACCAGGGGAACCTAACCTGTCCCGACCATACTCGGTACCTCGTGCAGAAAATCCAACATGCTGTGAGTCATAACGCCTAACGGGCCTTCCTCCGTGTCTGTTAATTGGTCTAGGTTGTTTGTTTGACCATGTGAGCGTTAATGGCTGCCCACAGATGTACTTCTTTTGCAGTGCTTTCAGGGCTTTCTCGGCATTTGGGGGAAACTCATACACCACAAATCCATACCCATCTTTCATCCGTACGTCGCACCGACCAAACTTTTGGAACACACGTTCAAGCTCATCTTTGTGAATGCGGGATGACAGATTACCAATGTATAAAGACATCTGCACATGAAAACTGCTCTATTACATTTCCAAGCGAAAGTGAACAACACTGCGCTCTCGTCAAAGCATGTAGGCAAAATGGTGGGACAGGTACACAACCAGATGGGTAATTTCGTCGAACACCTCGTATGCAGAAAATTACACAGATAGGGAGACTATTTGAAGAGAGGAGAATAGACTATTACCTCAAAGGAGCACGCTGGTATGTGCGAAAATCGGTGGTGCTCCGCGGAAGTCTTATCGGCGATTGTTTGGGAGTGTTCGAATTCGCAAAATCGCGTCTGCGGCAGCGAAAGCGGCCCGCAGTGTCGAGTGGGGAGAGAGGCGTTTACTTGCTTTTTGGCAGGCAGGTTAGAAAGAGAGGGAGCGATTTTGTTTACGTTACTTAGGAGTCGCGGCTTCGACCCGGCCGGTTGGAGGCAGCGTCTTCTTGACTCTCTCTTCCACGATTGGTTCGGTTCTGAGTGGTAAGATCTTTTGTCGTTTTCGGTTTTTCCCACCCAAAAAAAAAGGGTTTTGTCGTTTTGTCTTCTAATAATTATTATTCTTTTCTTTCCCCGAAAGTAGACATTATATCCAGATTCGTTGACCCGACTCGAACCCACGCGAAAAATAGAAATTTTTATAACCCGAAATTCAAATGATCCGAACCTTATTACCTCGTGATTTTTTGGGTCGGTCGGATTGTTTAGTGGATTGACCCGTTACATTTTATATGGCATTCCCAAAATGATAAAATCACTCATAAATTGGTGAGATGTTAAACAAAAAATTACAAGGATTTGAAAGACATTTTTGGAGTTTAAGGATAATCAAACATCATGTGTTTTTTGTAGTAGTTTTACTCTTGTGATTATTTTTTATTATTTGCGCAATTTGTATTTCATTTCATTAACATGGGAGGATTTGAAAATATATATGTTAATTGAAATGTGTTAGGTAAACTATTATCATGCATATGTGGAAATTTGTGTTCTTTACAAAAATATGATGCCTCAACCCAAAATTACTCAACCTGACTCGATTGTCAGGTCTACCCAGACGAAGTCTTCCGATATTCTTCGTCTAGCACTCTAGCTCGTTCATTTCTTTATTCGTGTTCTCTTCTTTTTCTCATGGTTTTTGAAATAGTATCGGTTTGGTCGGTCGGACCGAGAAAAAAACCAAAATAGGAGCCTAGTCCGGAACGGTATAGTCAGCATCTCCACCCCCTTCTCGGCTTCAACATTTCAGCATCCATTCGTTTTTCTTCTCACTGCATCAGTCGCTTGCCAATTAGCAATGAACCTCCTCGTTCGCCCTTGATCTCACTTCTTCATCCACATGTTGACTCAAGACGAAGCTCACGGTCCTTCACCTTATGTTCGCCCATTCGCCCCTCAAATCCATCCATTCGTTCGTCCAGTGTCGTCGACCATCGCTACTTGTTGCTTGTTTGAGCCACGTAACCTCCCCGCTAGCGCGCTCCGCCTCCTGCACACAAAAGCGCCCACCGAACCCTCCTCGAGGGATCGTTAGCACTCCGACGCCCAAGTCAGAGCTACTTTCTAGAGAGAGAAGTCGAATATCAGTTTAGAGAGAAGTTGGAACCTGAGTAAATGAGCTCCACCCACTCCACTATTTATACCCGAGGAAGGGTCGACCAATGCCCCCCAAATCCGCCCTACGTCATCACCTCATTAAATGCACTGTACCTTCTTTTCCCCGGGCGCCCCGACATTCTGACACCGGCTTGCCCCCCGGAGGCGCACGGCCCCACCGCCTGTCTCCTCCGTACGCTTCTGACCGTTACACCCCCTTTTGTCGCCATGCGCCCCTTCCCAGGCTCGGCCCCACTGCCTGGGCCTCAGGCCTTGGTCCCCTCTTGGGCCTGGCCCCTACTCTCGGCCCATAATGGCCCCCTGGCTCTTTACCTGGGCCTTTCCTTCCCTGCCCCCAACAATTGCCCCCCAGTTAGGCGCCTACCGCCTGGTAGGGGCCTAACTATCCATGCGCCCCTGTCATAGTGCGCTCTCCTTGGTTCTCCGCTCCCTTCGTGGAGCGCGCCTTGTCACCGTTCCCACTCTGAGGCGCGCCTTCGAGTCTCTCTCTTCCTGCTTGCTGGTTGAGGCGCCCCTCTCTCCTCCGTATCCTTATAAATTTTTTTTATTTATTGCGGTCCGACTGTTGGGTTTCCGCCTTAATTACGGGCGGACCGTTGGGCTCCGGCTTTGGTCACTGGTCCATTCCCCTCCCCCTAGGCTGAGGCGATTTCAAATTTCAAAATTTGAATTCGGATCAGCCTAGGTGACCTTCCGTCTCCCCTAGGCCATTCTCTCTCCCCCGACCCTTGCCTATAAATTGCCCCCCTCACCTCTTCCTTCCTCACTTTCTCCAAATCGCCCTCTCTCTACTTTCTCTCTCTAGTTTTCGCTCTGCTCTGCCTCTCGGTCCCCTGCACCTCCTTCGGCCAACCCTCTCGGCCAATCCTCTCGGCCACTTGGATCGTGCGCTTTACCACACTCTCCAATTCCCATTCTTGGCTTGCGTAGCTATGGCGTCTTCCAACCAACCCGGATCCCCCAAGACAGCGCCCACCGAGGCGGCGCCTCCCGGTACCGCGCCTGCCACCACGGCGCCTCAAGCCTCTGCACCTGCCAACGCAGGGCCTTCCAACACCGCGCCCTCCAACGTGGCGCCTTCAGATGCTCCCGCCGCCGCGCCAGGTAACCTTGCGCTCTATCCCCTCCTCTTAAGCGCTCTTTAATTTTCGCGCGTTATGTCCCATCTCGGTTGTCCACGAAAAGATAACTCGCTCCCTTCGTCTCTTGAGCGCCTTCCTCTTTCTTCATGGCCTGCTTCCTCATGCGCCCTCCTCTTGACCTCCTCCTTTTCTGACTACCTAGGCACCAGCGCGCCTCGCGAGTTCGGGATAAGCCAGTGGGGAAACATGTGGCCGCCTGGGTATATGCCCGCGGACATCGACCAAATGTCCGAGGAAGACGCCGGGCCGCCTTACACCTCAAAGATCCTCTATTCTCGCTTCACTTCCCTGATCCGGGCGGCACAGATGCCTGCCGACTGGCGCTACGCGCACCCCTCGCCTGTGGCGCGCGTGGGGGTCTGTGGAGATGGCTGGATCGGCGTGTACCAAGAGTACGCCCGCTTCGGGCTCCGGTTCCCCATCGACCCGATCCTCGAGGGCGTCTTGCATTTGTGCCAATGCTCCCTCGGGCGCCTTTCTCCTGTAATCATTCTTTATACCGTCCTCTTCCGCCTCAAATGTCGCCAACACAATATTCTACCCTCCTTCAAACTTTTCCAACACTTCTTCACTATGATTAGAAGTCCCAATTGCTTCAGCCTACAAAGGCGCTCCAAGTTGGGATACCACTTCATAAGCAAGGGCAAGAAGTTGGGGCGCTCGTGGTTCGAATCCTTCTTCTTTGTTCGCCCTCGAGACACGCCCTTCTTTGAAAGCGGGGCCGCTCCCCGGACGCGGTGGGCCTTTGGGGACGAGGCTGAATTTAATAAGCACCCCGTCCTGAATGAGGCAGAAAAAGACATGGCGCGGCGCCTTTCGTCGACGCCAATAAGCCTGAAAAAAGACGATGCTTACGCCCGCTATTTGGTGGAATTTTACAATGATGGTATACATAACTCCTTTTATGCGCCTTTGTGAGACTTCCATGCGTTCTTACTGACAATACGTCTTATCTTCTTTCTGGTGCAGGCACTGTGTTCACCAATATTTCGGACCTCATCCGATCTAAACTCCATTTGATCCCTCCCAAGGCGCCTCGGAAACGCGGCAAGGCTGGGAAGACAAGCAAGGCGCCCTCTGGGGCACCCCCATCTGCCCCAAGGAAGCCCGTGCGGGTGAAAATCATCGCCAACCCTGCCACAGTCGAGGCGCCGCAGCCTTCATACAACTCTCCGCTCCATGTGGATGAGGAGCAGGGCGCCTCCCTTGCTCACCAGAGCCAAGGCGCCTCGCATTCACACCACAACCCGGGTGGCTCACCCCGCAGCCAAGGCGCCACGTCCCAAACTCCTACGCGCGCCTCTCAGTCCCAGGCGCCCGAAAAGAGGCCCGCCGAGCCGCTACTCTCCGCCGCGAAAAAGGCGAAGCTGGATCGTGTGATCGCCTCGGGCGTGCCGGCAAGCCTAGTCATGCCCAGTATTGGCAAGCACACTGGGCAGGTCCTGCCTCCGTACTTGCAACCTCCATCTCGCCCATTGGAGAAGGTGGCGGTGGGCGTCCCCGTCAGGGCGGCCAAGGATCCGAGCGCCTCAATGCAGATGATGCTGTCACACGCTGCAGTGATCGAGCGCCCTGAACACCTTAACTCCCGACGCCCCCTTCGCACCATGGCCAATCTCAACGTCCAGGTAAGGCGTCCGTCTCCTTCGCACCCAACCTTGTTTTTCGAAATCTCTTGCAGAGCTTAACTTTGGTATTTTCATGCATGTGTTAGATGATGATGCTGATCGAGTCCACCGCGCGTGAGTTCGATCGTTTGGCCAAGGAGGCTCGACCTCAGAGGGCGCTGCGGAGCGCCTTCAAAATGAGCTGAAGAGTGCTCGAGAGGCGCAAGAGGCGCTGAGCAAGGAGCGGGACGAGGCGCAGAAGGAGGCCCAGGCTTGGGCGGCCAAGCTATCCACCGGGCTCGAGGCGGAGCGTGCGAAGATCAAAGCCTCCGTCGAGGAGGCATTGCAAAAGCGCTTCAACGAGCAAGACGCCGCCACCCGCGCTGAGGCGGCTGAAGTGGAGAGGGTGCTCCGCAAGGAGAAGGCGGCGCTCCGGGACGACCGTGACAAGTACTACGCGGAGGCGCGTAGCTTTTCCGAGGAGCTGAAGAGAGCCACCAAGGCTAAGGAGCAGAGCCAAAAGGAGTTGAAGGCGGCGACTGCTGAGGTGGAGCGCCTCAAGAAGGAGCTCTCTGATTTCCCCAAGTCGGCGGCCGGGAAGAGCCTCCAGGCGGACACCGTGATCGACACGGTGAAGGTTCTTCGCGACAAGTTCAACAAGGACGTCCCGGAGGTGGAGTTCGACCCCTTGGCGATGATCATGCACATCCTCAAGTTCCTGGACAGTGGCCGCAAGGCCAGTGAGCTGGCGCCTATAGTGGGTCTGGACGTCCCCCCGCCGAATGAGCCGGATGAGGAGGAAGACGCCGAGAGCGGTGACGAGGAGGAGGAGGAGGAAGAAGAAGGAGGCGCCGTTGATGGAGAGAGGCGCTCTCCAAGCCAGCAGGGGACGCCCGAGGGTGCGGTGCACAGCGAGGAGGAGTGATAGGGCATTTACCTTGTACTTTTTTATCTGAACTGATGTTTCTATTGCCTTTGTTTCCCTATTTTGAATGAATGCCTCATCGAGGCGCCTTTCCTTTTACATG